CTTTTGGGCTTCCTCATGTCGGTTTCATCCTTCTAAGTGCTAGAAGTCGATACCACACACGCGAAGCTCCAAAAGAGGACGGAAGTAAGTCGAACTAAAACGAGGCGGGTCCCACTTCTAAGGTTCTAAGATAGTCGCAGGAAGACCCCTAAGGCTAGATTCTAACTCCTACGAGAAATACTAGACCTCACGAAAAATGAGGTCAACACTTTTGAATGGACAAGACAATTTTCAACAATTCTCGTTCATAAACTAAATTTAGCCTAGCTCTTACCATAAGAATATGACTAAAGTAGGCAATTGGCCGTTGATCCTGCACGAGCACTGCTCTCAATTTGTACCCTGACGCATCTGTTTCTACCATAAATTGTTTACTGAAATCTGGAAGTGCTAATATTGGTATGCTCTTCATACCCCTCTTCAAATGTTTAAATGCTTGTGTTGTTGCTTCCCCGCATTTGAAATTGTCTTTCTTCAATTGCCTCGCCAGCGGCCATGCTATCGTGTCATATCCTCTCACGAACTTTCGGTGTAGTCGGTACGACACCAGAATCCTCTCAATACCCTTAAATTGGTAAGGACCAACCATCCATAGCCTCAATTTTGGACTGATCCACTACTATCCCCGTTCTAGTCACCACATGTCCTAGGTACTCCCCCTGCAACTGTACAAAAAACAATTTCTTCAAGTTTGCAAATAATTGGTGCTCTCTCAATGTCTCCAGAACTGTAATTATGTGCCCCACATGCTCTGTCTCTGTATGACTGTAGAACGAAATGTCATCAAAGAAGACCAGGAAAAATTTCTGGAGTCAAGCTTGAAAAACCCGATTCATGATGGATTGAAATATTGTCGGGGCATTGGAGAGGCCAAACGACATCACTAAGAACAAATAATATCCTTCATGGGTCCTGAACATTATCTTGCGCACATCTGCTAGATTCATTCTGACCTAGTGGAATCCCAACTTAAGATCAATCGCACTAGTGAAAAATTACTACTCGATAAAGCTCATCCAGTAACTCATCAATCACAAGAATATGAAACTTGTCCAACATCTCCTCCTTGTTTAAAGCTCAGTTGTCAACGCAAAATCTCCAACTACCATCTTTTTCCTTCACCAACAAAACTGTACTGAAAAGAGGGCTCACACTAGACATAATAATCCCGAGCTCGAGCATCTCTCAGATCAACTTCCCAATCTCATCCTTTTGAATCTGAGGGTACATGTAAGGTCTAACACTGATAGGGGAAACACCTTCCTTGAATGTAATAGCGTGCTTGTGTTCCCTCAGGGGTGGTAACCCGCTTGGCTGTTGGAAGACGTATGTAAACTGTTGTAGGAGCTTATGGACCCCTTCAGAAAACTCTGCCAACTCCGAATCTTGAATATCCTCAATGCTCTCCAACTCCACCAAGTAGCGCAGTCTTGCTCCTCGTATCGACTTGACCATGATTTTGAGCGACACCATTGTTATGCATAAGCCAGCTCCTTCTCTCAGCATCACCTTCTACCCTCCACTTGGAACTCCATCGTCAGGGACTTCCAATCCACCTTCATCTCACCCAGTGTTCGAAGCCACTTCATTCACAAAATCACATTTGTGATATCCAAATCAAAGGGAAGAAAGTCTTCCACCACATGTAGGCTATGTAGTGTCAGAACCAACCACTTGCAAATTCGTCAACTTTTCCCCACCTTCTCTATCCCCATCATGACGTCGAAGCTACCTGTAGTCACCAGCTCCAACCCTAGTTTCTCCACGACCTAATTTGAGATAAATTTACGTGTGGCCTCGCTATCTACAAACACTACAATCGCCTGTTCCACAATCCACACCCTCACTTTCATGGTGTAACTCAGGGTAAATCCCACCACCAAATTGAGGGACACCTCCGCCACATCTAAATGGAGATGCTCCACCGCATCCTTTTCTGATTCCTCACTCTCTGTATCGTTCTCATGAACTAGAAGAATCTGAAGGGCACACTCCTTGCAATGGTGGCTTGGGGCATATTTCTCGTCACAGCGGTAACACAATCTTTTTGCTCTTTTATCATGCACTTTTGCATCTGTGAGGAGCTTGAAATTACTCCTGGGATGGATTCCTATATTCTTCTCCTTCGATGTCTCTTTCTAAAATGACACCGCCTAGATACTCGGTGTCGTGGCTGCCACGGTGCTATTCTAAAATCCTATGGTGTTATCGCATTTGCTGGTCTTGTTCATCTGTTTCTTATCTTCCATCAGTTGGGCAAGCTCCATTATTTTCCTCAATCCTTGTGGTCTCAAGGGCGGATGATCGCTTGTATGTTGGACTTTAGGCCTTCCAAGAAATTCTCTTCCAATCCTGCTGCAGAAATCTCTCAGTATTCCGTAACCGTTTCCTCCCAAGTCAGAGCATAGAATTGCTCATGTAGTCTCATTCTCTAATGGCTCAGAAACGCTCCAACAAACAATCTTTAAACACCTCCCTAATGGCTTAGAAACGCTCCAACAAACAATCTTTAAACACCTCCCATGACATGAGTGCATTGGATACCTTGCCTCCATCCACTGAAACCAAGCTAAAGCCTTTTACTCTAAACATAATCCCGCTGTCATGAGCTTCTCTTCCTCCGTTAACCTATTGATTGCAAAGTATCGCTCCACCCGATACACTCATTCTGTGCATCCTTCCCTTCGAAGATTGACATTTTCAGCTTTCTAAACCTAGCATCTCCGCCTTAACCTCCTCTTCCTCCGATATTTCCCCGCATTTATCTAGGGTGGAACTCCATTCTTCGATCATAGGCATATTCTACTCCCGATTCCCTCATTCCTCCATTGTGCTATTACGTGCTCCTTACACCATCCCTCCTCCAACTTTCGACCCATCATCCTCCATCAAAAGTCTCTACTCCCCCTCCCCTCGGAGTCCTAGGGGGACGTACTTATAGGTAGATGATGTCTTCTTCATTGTCTTCTCACTCGAACTGTTCTCACTCGACCTGTTTTCCTTTTAACCTGGATAAGGATTCCCTAATCAACCCTTGGTTAGGGTTTGCAATTGGAGCGGTCAACACGACCTTGGATTGCATCTCTATGAGTTTTTTTTATCATCTCCTGCATTTCTCCTATGCTCTTAAATCCATCCTCTATTCGACTTTCTATGAAAGAAAACATATCTTCCATGGTGGCGAACCTCTCTTTGTTCCAAATTTGATTTGCCCTACCTTCCCTTCTAGCATGTCCATTTTTTTTGTTGTCATCCCACCAACATCTAGGCTCTGTTATTAATTTGTTAAGCTCCGAAACCAAAATCAACAAACAATCTACGACAAAAAGGACAGTAGATAGAAGAAAAAACTCAAATGAGGCCTGCTCCTAAGAAAAATAAATGAAAACAAGCAAGATACAAGGATGATCAATTTTTTGAAAGGTAGATCAGCTCTGCCACAACCCTAGACGTTGCTAGGAACACCAACAAAAGGAAAAAGCACGACAACCAAGAAAACACATGTATAATTAAAAAAATTCTAAGTTCCTTCCCTTAATAAAATTCTTCTCCTCCTTGAGTAAGTAATCAAGCCTCTCGTGGACCACCACTGCCCCCTGCCCTTTTCTGTCGCAACATAGCGCCGCCACGCTTCTTCTCGCAAACAGGATCGGTCTGGCAGCTGTGGTAACGGGCCGATGCTTTCGCTTTTGACCGGTCCAAGAGCGGGCGTAACAGTTTCCTATCTTTCGGATTGTACAAATTGGGAGAGATCAACTACCTCTCGAATTGTGTGTGTTTATCTTTGTATTCTTGTTGAGTTGTTTGAACTATTGAAGAAATATTGCGTTTGCCTAATTTTTTGGAAAAGAATGCTAATTTTAACGTTGGATCGTATCCGTTGTTAATAAACATATGCTCATATTTGATCTGTTATTTCACAAATGGAGTTCAAAATTAAACTCAGCTCTCGATTTTGATCAACCATGTATTGTAAGAAAAGTTTACACCAAAATGTTTGATTCCACAGTATTACCTCAGAATTCCAAATTTCCCATGCCTCACTCACTTTCTGTTTCCACTAAGCTACTCCCACTCTAAGTTCTCAATTCCCGTTGGACCCAGGCAGCTCAATAAAGAGGGGAAAAGGAGAGAA